GTGTTTAGTATAAGCATATAGACAAAGAAAAGAGTAAACTTTACGTCTGTTTAGCTCATTGATGTACAATAACAAATACATAAAAATGACTACATAGAAAAAGGAGAGAATATGTACATATAATGGAACGAAAACGTAGTCTGTGTATATAAATGAACAAAGAAAGAGGTACATATGGAATAGGGCAGCATGTCTAGAGATAGCTAGGCATGACAATTTCCCTACAACAGTGATCTGATGTCGTTTTCAATTTCTCTAGTACGATTCAGACAGATGTTTTTCGCTTTAAAATCAATTTTGAAAATCTCCAATCCAAACAGACATATGGATTGCAATACTTTGAAACATAAAATTACTTAGACATACTCGCTGATTTTCTGTCTCTCTGATACAGTGAGTCGACCTATCATTCACATTCACGTGCACTTACTTAAATGAAACTGTTTTAAATTTGGTAATGATTGAATTACTTTTTCCCATCGATCAGCATTTAAATATTCTCGACTTAAACGGTAGTAACTGGTTAGCGATAGATATGTTAGGCTTAGATGATTTTGAAACAAAAGTTGTATGTGATCAAAGGATATACCAGCCATGGTTAATTTAAAATAGTTTAAATTCGGTAATAATGATGGTATATTATTCGCTATTATTGTCGTAGTATGATCTATACCTTTACTTTGTAGTAATTCAACATCTAAATATTCAATTTGACGTATGTAATTGATTAACTGAAGTAAATCATCGAGTGAATAAAGACAAATCGATAGGTATTTCAAATTTGATAATATGGAATGGGGGGATGTTGTGACGGCAGTGTCATAAACAGCTAATGAAAGAAAATCGAAATGTATAATACATTTCGTCAAAGCCGTTGGAATATTGCTAAATATTCGATAAATGCAATCAACTATATAAGAATAATCATTATCAGATGGAATTTCAATTGAAAATGTTTGCAAGTGTAACAAAAACGGTAATTTTTCTACGAACGCTTCTATCAAATCGTTTGCTCTTGGTCTAAGTAATACTAATGATCGAAGATTAATTAATGATCGAAGATCTACTATTCTTGAAAATATTGTTGTTTGATTCTGAAATGAATCATCAGACAGAATAAGGTGATAAATTTGGTGAAGCGATGATGATGCAGTTAAACACGGTAATAAAGAGAGAACTTCCCGACCAGTATTCGTTCTTATTGCTGATGATAAATCAATTTTAAATCGTATTTGGTGAATGAGACTGTTCAGTCGTGAGTTTAAGTTAAGAAAACCATTTAATACATCATTGGGTGCCACGTAATACTCCAGTAAATCGAGTAACCATTCATTGGCTAAATCTTCCAAGTGCAACATTCTCTTTTTATATGAAATAATAACCCAAAGAAGACGTGAAAATAAATCACAGAGAAATCACGTGAAACCAGAATAGTAGTGCTGCGTCAGGAGACTAAAATTTAAATGGACATATATTGATGAAACAAAATTATGAACAGCGGTAGGAATGTATAAATCATTTTCAAGAGTCATGTTTCAGCCAACAAACTACTGACAGAATAGGAGACTAGAATTTTTTTGAACAAGAAAAGAAGAGTAGACAGATTTGGATCTGGCCTTCTGGCAAGAGTTATGATTTCCACTCACTGGATCTGTTTCATACTCACTATTCCAAGTAGCTGCTTTGCAGCTCCTCCTTATCATACAGACATTCCGTCGCTGTTCTTAAATTCGACTTAAACTATTGAATCGAATCCTACTTTATCATGTCTAATAACTAAACCAACCGTTGTCAAGTAGCCACCTTCTCAGTGGTCAAGAACAAAGGTAGAAAATTGCAATAAAACACATATAGCTCAGCATTTGATACTAAAATTAAGTAAACAGAAAGCTGTCGTTTTATAACTATCAACCACTTCATACCTACGCTGGATGACACTAGAAGCTACCAACAACTGCTGCGTTGATTGAACGGTTGCAGGACCGCACGGATTTTTCTCTTTATGAGCTCATAAAAACTATAGGTAAAAGGTGTATAGTGTAAACTATAGGTGTCTGCATAATAGCTACTTTTCCTGTCAGAACCACAGTCTACAAATGTTACACTGGTATTGGAGGCAAAACGGTACAGGAGAAAGTAATTTTGCTACAAAGTAGATCTCTGCAGACTTCAGCTTATTGTACTCGTCTTGGCAAAAAATGAATAAGGTCTAAAATAGATGAAACTTCTTTCTACGTCCTTATTTTTCTTTCTTCAGTTGTATGATACGAACTGCACCCACAATAAACGAACACGTATGATCTGGTAACCTTTTTCCACGGGGGAAACACCGTACTCCGCTAACTCCGTCACTCTGCGGAGTTTAACCGGAGTGAACGGAGTAGTGGAGTGATCCGTAGTAACGGAGTGACCCTGGAGTGAATGGAGTTTGATGTTTTTCATTGACGTGCTTTGCTTTCTCAAATTCTGTTTTCATTTGTAGCATTGTTTAGCTCCCATTGTTCCTATCCTCCTAATGCTCTTATAGTTTCTATAGTTCTCAATATTCCTAGGACATTAGAACAAGGCGGAAACAGCAGACTCCACATGACTCCTAACGGCATATGGAGTCAGGGACCCAAAATGGAACACTAGTGTTCAGTCTATTTGAGCATACTTTCCCACAACAGAACACTTTTGTTCTGAAACTCGTATGAATTTCCCAAATAAAAAAACAAATGTGTTACATTTTGGGAAATATTCTCCAAAAAAGAACATTGCTTCTCCTTTGTTAGGAAAAATTCCCAAAAATGAAATATTTTTGTTCGTATATGTGGGAAATTTGTCCCATATTTAGAACAAGTGTCCTGTTGGGAAACATATCACCGAATCGAAAAATTTCAAAAGCTTGTTCGGTCGAAACCGATTGCAGATTTGTCTTCTCCATGGTTGATTATGTGGTACGCAATAACTTTTGGATCGGGGTGCTTTAGAAAAAAATTTTCCCATGGTCTTGCTCAAAAATTTTTCCAAATGTTATCGTATGGGACCAAAGGCAAAACGATGTCGAAAATTTTTTCTACAGTACCCCGATCCAGAAGTTATCGCGTACCACATGATCAACCATGGAGAAGACGAATCNATCTGCAATCGGTTTTGACCGAACAAGCTTTTAAAATTTTTCGATCCGGTGATATGACAAATCTAAAAAGGACTGAGCTGTAATGTTCTGTTATTGAGAAATTCTTCACAAGAACGCAGATCTAACATTCCATTTCTGGGAAATAAATGGGTTAAAGCAGCAGAAGTATTAGGTCTTCGAAAGCCTCCAGTAGACTCCAGTGCATCCCATACAACTTCAACAGGTTTCATAAGACTAGAGACTGATGGAGTCTGCTGTTTTCCTGTTGAGATGACTACACTTGACTTCATGTGACTCCAAGGGACTGGAGTCCGCTGTTTCCCCGTTGCATCAGAAACTACGCCCACCAAAGGAACTACGGAAACTATGGGAACATTGGGGATTATGGGAATTGTGGGGACACTGGGAACTGCTATTATTATCGCTTCTTTCAAGAACTTGGATTGTTAGCATTCATTAGTGCTCTGCATACTATTCCCGAAACAACAGTTGATCAATAAATGCGAGAGAAAAGAGTTATAGCAGCTGTCACTCCGTCACTCCGGAGTGACGAAGTGAACCGGAGTGGAAGTTCACTCCGCGGAGTAGTGGAGTATGGAGTACGGTGTTTCCCCCTTGCCTTTTTCACCTCATGTACAAAAGGAAAGACAAACAATTTATCATAGTTAATAGTCCTCTAGCATTCTGAAGAAGAAGAAGAAGCGTTCTTTAACGTGTCATTCATATATCACGTGAAATGAGAGGGTGTCATACACAGAACGGAAAGAAATTTTTGCTCATAAGATAGTTGCCATACTGTTTTCTCCTTTTATATACTTTTGTAACAGCAAGTTCAGAAAATTACAAATAAACATTGGTTATGATTCACGTAAAATATGACTATCATGGATGCTGCTCACATAGATACTTTTCAAATATTTTCATCTGCTTTTAACGTGAATAAAAGTCTTTTCGGAAAAAACGCAAAATGCGCTCAATGGGCAGTAACAGTAAAATTGGAAAAAAATCAGTATCTAAGCATAATTTCGAGTTGAAGTGGAATGTTGAAGTAGTTGAAAAAAAAAAGTTTCAGTTTTTGAATATAAAAAGAATGTTTGTTTCTTTTAATTATTATTATTAAATATTGTTTATTTTTCATCATCATCGTCATCGGCTATATTTATATATGGAATAATGTTTTGTTTGGCATATTTTTCAAATGGATTAAGAACATTTTCAATTCGACTTAAAAGTGAATTGACTCGAACCGAGGCCGGTAATTGTTTACGTTTTTGTTTTTGTGTACGTGTTTCATCATCTAAAACTCCTTCATCAAATGCTAGCTCATGTATTTGTAGCGGTCGTCCGCTGGGTAAAGATTTGTGTTTTCTTTGTTTCATTGTTGTTAACGAATGTTGATCCGATGATGATACAGTAGTAGTTTGATTATACAATGTTGGGTAGGTTGTAGATGATGAAGGTAAGGATGTTATATCCAATCCTGGTGTATACGAATATGTTATCGGTTCACTTATTCTGGCTTTTTTTACTATTGATGATAACGTTAAATCTTCACCAATTTCATCTGATCGAACACGTTTTGTTTCTAAGTTTTCTTCTTTGATTCTCGGTTTTGTGAGTGCAATAACATCGGATATAAAATCCAGATCCAAAGATGTATTTGTTGCAACAGCCGTTGATATACCAAGAAATAATCGCCACAACTCCCCCTGAGTCGATGCTGGTAGTGTGTTCAATCTCGAGAATGTCTGAACGATTTTATCCTCAAACAGCGATGATTCAGGTGAAATATGTGTGATTTTATTTACTGATGGCATTGTAACATCTGTTAAACGATTTTGTGTATTAGTTGCATTCTAAATACAAATAATAAGAGCCTGAACAGAGGCCTAAAAAGTTCAAATTAGATTCTGCTCGAATCTCACAAAAAAACATTCCTAAACACGTTTAAATGCAAGCAGATTTGTTTCCGTCATCTGAAGATAAAGTAAGGATTGTAGAAATTGCAAAACTCACGAGAACCTGTTTACTTTTTACAAAAATCTGCGTCTTACATCGCCTTACGCATTTTTTTTCTCGGAACTTTTTCATAGAATATCCAGAAGCTTTTCGGAAAAAATCGAAAACTTTCTCAGTCATTCAGGTCTGGGGAAAATACAGATCTTCTCACATATTTAGAATGGTTCTCAACTGTCGATAGGCCTCATTCGATCTTGGATTATAAGAAAAGTATCCTTGTGAAATCCATACCACTACATTTACTGCCGCTGCTTGTAAACTATCTTCTGAATCTTCAATATCATCAACTTCGTCGTGAAATCGATGTGGAATGTCACGTTACTCGAAGAAAGAAAAGGGCTTCGTAGGAGTATCCTTTTCTACGTAAACATTAACATCATGTTTGCATGGAAATGATGAAACCAAAAAACTTTCGTCTATTATTCACCTCACACGATATCAAATGGCAAATAAGACATTATGACAGCTTTTTCCTATAAAACTTTCTATTCGTGCTATTTAGAAAAAAAAGTCGCCTGCGTGTCGTTTACATTCTGTTGGTTATAGAAACTTCCTAGAAAGTGTGACGAGGGAACCCCTCGAAGTGATTAAACGCTTTTTGCTCAGAATCTAGTGAGTTATAGGTTATCGACCATGCTGATTACGAATACGACCATGGGGCTTCCCCATAGCCATTCGAAGACCTGGTTTTCCAGAAAACCAGTTTTTCAGAAACTCTAAAATATGACCCGAACCTTTCTTAATGAGACATAATTGTAGCCCGCACATTT